AATAGGCTTTTGCAGATAGGAAAAAAAAAAAATCCCATGTATGCAGATAAGGTCGGTATTACTGATACTAATTGGTTTTATAGGAGAAAGTAATACCCACAAAAAAGCAAGGGTAAGGAAATGTGAAACATTTCAGAAGTGATTCAACCAGATAAGAATCAGAAGAGACTGTTAAAAAATAAACTACTAGTGAGTAGGCAAAGGGAGTATTAAATTGTTCGCAGAGACAAAGGGAAGCCACAAGACAAAGACAGTTTGCATCCCCTTTAACAACAGGCACAACAATGACCCAGACATCTGGTCCTCTCTTGTAACTGCTCTGGTCTGGAACACTAAGGAGAATTCCTGAAAGCTCCAAGCTATGTAGTTCGGAGCTTGAGAGCTGCCTGACTGAAGCCAGGCGTCTTCACCTACCACAGCGACCTTCCTGCAGAAGATGCTCAGTGCATGCGTGGGACTGACTGTACAAACTAACAAACAAGCTATTTGAGAATAACTGAAAAATTCTGTTTTGGTTTTGCTTTTTAATCAAAAACCAATGGACTACTAATGTTTTAATGATTAAACATATTTTTAATTGCTAAAGCATTATCAGTTTGCTGCAAAATTCAACATTATTCAAAGGAAATCACTGTTACTCTGCTGTGTGAATCCTTCAAGACTTTTTCTACATATATACAATTGTTTAAATATGCATGTGTATGCATATATATATGCGTGTGTGTATATATATATACATATTTAAATGCTATATATAGGTATATAAGGAGCTCTGGTGGCACAGTAGTTAAGCACTTGGCTGCTAACCAAAAGGTCTTAGGTTCAAACCCACCAGCTGCTCTGCAGGAGAAAGGTGTAGCAATCTGCTTCCATCAAGATTACAACCTTGGAAACCCTATGGAGCAGTTCTACTCTGTCCTATAGGGTTGCTATGAGCTGGAATTGACTCTACGGCATACAACAACAACAACAAAAAGTCTAAAAGCAGTGAGTTCAACCTGACCCCTAAGAACCCTAAGACCAGTGTGTTCTTTCCTTTGCATCCTGGGGTCTTAATGCACAAAAGCAGAGATGTCCCCATACCAAAACTCAAGTGTAACCTGTAGTATCTGTTATGGCTAGCCCAGCAATATGGGAAGAAACAGTGGGATACTGGGCAGTATGCAGTTACTGTCTCAAAATTTCTTGGTTTAAGTAAAACCTTCTGAGTGCCCCTGAAAAATCTTGGGTAGTCTCAATTCCTATTGGGAAATACAGAACTGGTGAAATCCATATGCACTTGGGAAAAGTCAGACACATGTTAGCTTACCAGTAAACAATCCTTTAAGTTGAAGTTCTTCATTTTAATAAATGGGCAATAAGCTTTGGGAATGAAAATCTGCTATTCCTATAGGCATCAAGGAGCCCTGGTGGCCTAGTGGTTAAGAGCTCAGCTGCTAACCAAAAGGTCAGCAGTTTGAATCCACCCGCCGCTCCCTGGAAACTCTACGGGGCAATTCTACTCTGTCCTATAGGGTTGCTATGAGTTGGAAACGACTCAACAGTAAGGGGTTTTTATAGGCATTAAAAGTCGTAACAAGTCATTCTTCTCTGCTACGTACATTTGGAGGTTGGGGCCTTTATTGTTTATGCAAATAACTAATTTGTTTTTACTTCACTCTGTGTATTAAATGTAGGTTGGAACTAACACTTCTATAGAACTTGGTGTTTTAGAAGAATATTCAGTATGTTCCCTTTTAAAATAATACCAGATGTTCATAATAATTTAGATATTGGCTGATATATCGTATTATTTTATGACAAGCAATGCAAACTGAACTGAATATATTAGAAAACTTAAAAATATTATCAAGAACTTTTAGAGTGTATGACACTGATTTCACTTTCAGCAATAAGCTACTGGAGATTCAAGTGTTTGGTTTTCAGTTACAAAAGAAAGTACTTTAAAGACTATAGTAGAAACTGCAGTCAATGCTGTTAATACAATCTCCATGGCAACATGGATGGAGCAAGGTCTCGTGGACCACAGGAAAACCACAAACTCTCAACTTCAGACCCTTGCATTAACTCACCACAGAAAGCCACATTTATATCTTGGCATTTCATCTCTGCTGTAAACACTGGCACTTCTGGCTTTGCTCCTCAGAAGACATTGCCTAAGTCCTACAGAACTGACATGTTCATTTTTATTAAATCAACCTTATTATACTTATGTTCTGACACAATATAAGATTATTTACAGCAGATTTCCAGGTTGTAGCAGGGAAATAAGTAGATGTGAATGGAAAAGGCAAATAGTGAATAAGTTCCCCAAATTTCATTACAGGTAACACGAAAATGACTTCATTTGAAAGATCTCTTACTTTTTCACAAATTAATTAGCATGACAAAAAGCAAGTTTATTTTTTTAAATGGGTTTTTAGAATTTCGTTGGCTAACAGAGCATACTGACCATATTGTTTTGTTTTCATTTTCTCATTAAGAAAATGCCTTTAAAGGAAACTGTACAAAAACAATGCAGCAAGATTTTACTGTAGCTTAATGAATTAGTTAAGACTTTCCTTGCTGATGTGGAGATCATTTGCTAAAAACAAGCCAGAAAGAAGTAACAAAAATAGATAATAATCATTAACATTTATTTAGTATTTACTACATGCCAGGCACTGTCCTGGGCTCTCCACACGAATGATTCACTTCATCTTCACAATCACCTTATGATGTGGATATTATTATCCCCATTTTATTGACAAAGAGACAATGCTCAGAGAGGTTAGGTGATCTGCTTAAGGTCTCTTAGTGGAGGAGTCAGAATCAGGACCTGTCCACTATGCACTACTGCTTCTCACAGATTTCTCCATTTCATTTTGTTCGTTTTATTCACAAAGTGTTATGGATTGAATTGTGTCACCCAAAAAGACATGCTGAAGTCCTGACCCCTGGTACCTGTGACTATGATCTTTCTTTGAAGATGTTATCTACCAGGTTAACATGAGGTCATACCAAAATAGGGTGAGCCCTAATCTCTTCTGAGTGGTGTCTTATAAAAGGGGAGAAGAGACACAGATAAAGGAGGAGGATACCATGTGAACATGCATCTAAAAGCCAAGGAATGTCAAAATTGCCAGGAGCCACCAGAATCTAGGAGAGAGACATGGAACCCTCAGAACCCTCAGAAAGAGTCAACACGGCTAATACTCTGGATTTGGACTTCTATCCTCCAGAACTGTTTGACACAATAAATTTCTGTTCTTATAAGCCACACAATTTATAGTATTTTGTTTTGGCAGCCCCAGGAAACTAAGACACATAGTAATACCCCTAGTCCCTCACTCCGTCCTTTTTACTCTAATTTAAACATAATTCCACAAAATTTGGTTATCTGATTACCTAGGATCCAAAACCAAAACCAAACTCATTGCTATCGAGTTGATTCTGACTCATGGTGACCCTGTGTGTTACAGGGCAGGACCGTTCCATAGGGTTTTCTTGGCTGTAATCTTTATAGAAGCAGTTCGCCCCTTTCTTCCATGGTGCTGCTGGGTGGGTTCGAACCTCCAACTTTTAGGTTAGCAGAAGAACACAAACAAAACCACCCAGGGACAGAAGGATCAAATCAGAAAAGTTGGGAGGAGGGCTCCTGTAGGCAGGCACAGTAAAGAGCAGAAAACATTAAAAATATAGGAAGTTGAAACAGGAACTCTAAGTATAGCAAAATGGGATTATGCAGAGTAAGAAAAAGATAAATGCAGTTTTGGGAGGCAGAGGGTAGAGAAGATGGAAAAGGCAGTGACCATTTGTTGAACACTTATTCAGTACCAGGGCTTTGACTTCCATCACCTGCCAATCCTCCATGGCCCTGCCCCGCAGGCTGCACTATGTCCGACTAGGCTCACAGAGGTTAAGCACCTTGCCCAAGCTCTCAGAGCCACAGAGCCAGGCTTGTCAGATGCCAAAGTTTGTGTTCTTAATACCACACCCCACTGCCTTCCCTGTATGGATGAAGAAACCAGGGAGAGAAAGAAAATCTTGGAAAGGTTTCTATAAAAATGGTTACAACCGAAATGCTTTGTCACAATGAATAGGGGTAATGAGCTTCAGTTAGCTGGAAAAGTTACTCACCCAAACAAAATACCACATCTGATGGATAAATAAAATACTTTTTTAAACTTTAAAAATGCAAATCTAATAAACATTGCAAATTTAGAAAATTCTTAATTTAGAAAATCCATAAGCTAAGGTTGTGATAATAGGGGATTTTTCATTTCACGTCCTATTTGTAATTGTCTGATACTCTTTTTTTTTAAACTCACTAAGTACGGGGGTTTTACTTAGTGAATATTCACAGCAAATTCAAGGCATTGTGCCAAGAAAGAGAGAGTGGTAAGCGACTGCCACTTGGAAGGTGAGAAATCTAAAACAGAGACACACGTGCATGCGCCCTGTTCAGCCACATGCTCTCTTAGTTAGCAACATCAACTACTGAGAGGGGCTGGTTCATCCCGTTATATAACAAGTTCTTTTTCTCCCTCGCTTCTTTTTTCTGGCATCCCTTATTGCCTAGAGACTGCTGTGAACAAAGAAAAAGCAGGGAAAAAAAACCCACAATACATACAGTAAGCCTGTTCTAAACATAACTAAAAAATTAGCTCATAAGGGAAGTCTAGTTTTCTTATAAGGAGCCCTGGTTCCATGGTGGTTACTGAAAGGTCAGTGGTCTGAAACCACCCAGCGTCTCCGTGGGAGAAACATGTGGCAGTCTGCTTGCATAAAGATTGATACCCTTGGAAACCCTATGGGGGAGTTCTACTCTGTCCTACAGCGTCTCTACGATTCGGATGCTGAAAATGGGCATTTGCTTCATTCCACATGTATCTGAGGAAGCATGCTCTACCTTGAAATCGGCTAAGTAGTTAACAGTGCTTTCATGCATGTCCGCCCAACTCCCCACGTGCCCACCCTCACCCAGGTGTAAGCCCTGGTGCCCACTTAGGCGTGATTACCCCTGGTGCAGCCCTGCCATCGGCGTCTCTCTCAAGGGAAAGAGCTTGGGGTAGACGATGGTAAACATGGGCTCACTGCACCGGTGACAGTGCCCCAGGGGGCAGTGCAGCAGCTCCAGAAAACTCCGGGGTAACGAGATTGGAGACAGAAAGTTCAAATCTGGAAGAGGAGAGAAAATCAGGCACGGGAGTTAAAATTCAGGTTTCCTCAAATTAGACTTCCTAAAATATTTCTCTTTGTTCAAGTTCAAGTAAGTTCAAGTTAGTTAAAAGTTACTCTATGTTTAAAATTCTGTTATCTGATAGGCATTGAATAAAAATCTAACATTATTTAGAATTGAAAGATAGTTTTTACATTTCTGAGACAAAAAGAAAACCTAAATCTACTCTTTTAAAAGCAACCAGAAGCTGTCCTAGGTAAAGGTGAGGAAAGAATAAGATCAAATACTCCTCGAGAATAGAGATCAAAAAGGCATCAATTTACCCAGAGAGGGTTTTGGAAGCTTCTATAAGAGACAGAGAACAAAAAAAGGACTGGGACTGAAGACTAAATAAACTTTCATTAAGTTCTCCACTATATCTATTGAGCATTTAGTATTAGTCAAGCACCAATCAAGGCAAATAGTATTTATTTAAAAGACTGAAAAAAGGGGGAAACACTGAAGGGAAACAAAGAAAATGAAAAATAACAAAAGCAAGCCTTTCCTTGCCTCATTCCCATGAGCTGTCATTAATAAAAAGAGAATGTTTTCTTCCCAGCTTTATCTGAGCACTAAACATAAAAGAGACATTTAAAGCATCTCAGTGGTCCAGGCTATCTTGATAAATAAATGGACCCTGGTCTACTATTGAGGATAAACATCCAGTAGACATGGAAATGGTCATAATGAGGTAGAACCTAAAAATACTTTGACCCATCTTTGGGAAGCAAATGTAAATTATCTTCTTATCTTTTGTATCTGTTTGGACCCATCAATAACCGTTTAGCAAAATATAATTTATTCACAGGAGAATACCTATACTTTTCTGTTCAGTTTAAAAAAACAGTGTAACAACTTTGTACTAGACATTCCTGGAAGGTTAATATTACATGTTTTTGTCTGTACTGTTTTTTAAGCAAAGAAAAAAAAAAATTAGCTGTTTTAAAAACTCTTGAAATGTAGTTTTTCTTATTAACATTCCCTAGCATTTTCTTAAAATCATCACAATATCTATGAAATTCATATACTGCAATTCCTTTCCAAAACAAAAGCTGTTAGGCTGTGGTAATATTGCCAAAGGCTCCTGATATTTCCTCTCCTTTAGGAATACAAATTTCTTAGATGTGAGGAAGCTGCAAAGCAAAAACATGCTCTGCTAGAAGAGGGATCCAAATTTGCTTGAGGGATAAAATCTTTCCAAATTATTCCTACTGAAGAAAGTCCCTATGCCAATCGTTTGCTTCAACTAAACACATGTTTCCAAACACCAATTTCCTTCATTTAAACCACACAGTTTAACTTTTAGCCACCGTTCCTCGCCACGGAAGACGGTAGTTTAAAGAATGCTTCTCTGTCTGTAGGGGGTGCTAAAAGCATCGGTGTTGATATGACATAAAAACTTATTAAGAATATAAAAAGTTCCGGGTACCTTTTAGAAACTGGTGGTAGGAGCGATACAGACTCCTCATGGCTAACTCTTGCAGAGGCAGCACGTGATCCTTCTCCGTCCCGATGGACTTCACCTCCGCTGGGAGGAAAACAGTGAGTTGCCCTGATGAAAAGGAAAGCAGCTTCACCTCTGAAACCTGAATGGGAGCACCACAGCTGCAGAGAAACAAATGTTACAGTAGTATTAACATTAGCAGTAAGGAAAAGACTGTATGTGTTAGCAGATAGGACTTAATCAAAATATATATTTGAAAATTCAAGAAGACTGTGTTGATTCGCCAGAATTCTGTTCAAAGTGAGCAGATGCTATCCTGGGTTCCTTAATAAAACCTGGCACAGAAATCTAAGCTCATCACTTGGAACTTTGCTAAATACTTGCCAAGGCCCAGTCACATCCAGCAAGGGTAAACTTTGAAGGCATTCTCCTTCATAGGATCTACACAATTTGCTTTGTAAGTTCTATTTTTCCTCATTTTATTACCCTCTCCAAGTTTGTTTATTGAAATTTTCAAAATTAAAAGGGAAAAAGTATTCTGTTGAGTTATAGTATCTTGGTTTAATAGAATTTTTGTGTACAAAAAAACTAAACTTACAAAGCAAATGGATTCTTAATGGTATAAGATAAATTTATTGGATTCTTCCATAAACTTGTGGGGGAAATATTCTTGGCAATGTCTGCTGAATAAACAGTCATTCCCTATTCTTTGCTGCCACTCATAACCAGAAGACAGAGATGTTTATGTCCTTTCAGCTAAAAGGTTACCAAAACTCAGGTGTCTGATTTCATTCCACCTCCTGTCTGAGACCACCAGGTTACCTAAAGCCTTAGCATGTTCCTTCTTTAATGAAAAACAGGTGCCAAGACCTTGGCTTTCCAAACACAACATTAGATAAGATCTCTAACCTTGGCCGGAAACAGGCAATGAAGGAAAGAGAACAGGGTCAGAGGCAGAAGCCCTTGGCTCATTTGTACACTAGATGTTCCTTCACCTGTCCATTCATTCTTCCCTTCAGAAAACATTTTCAGAGCACCTATTATATGCCAGTCGATCAAGATATTTACTTTAAAAAAAAAAACAGATGACACCCTTCTTGTGGGAGAATAACAGCAATACAATAGTTATAATGTGGGGGAGAAGAAGGTAGCCTGACTAACTACTGAGGGAATTTGGGAAGATTTTACAGGAGTCAAAACTGGCCTAGAAGACAAGAGGCTTTTTCTAGGAATAAAAAAAAGGGATAGTACTCTAAGCAGAGGGAACAGCATGTGCAGCAGAACAGAAGTCTGAAGGAATATGGCTATGTCTACGGTTTCAGGAGGCTGGAATAAAGGATAGGAAGGATGGGAGGAAAAGGCCAAGAATATTAAAAAAATAGTTAAAAAAAAACAAACTGGTTGCCGTCCAGTCGATTCTGACTCATAGCAACCCTACAGTTAGATGGTTTTAATTCCTGGGAAAAATTGTTAGATGGTTTCACAAAACTATCTGGCCACAATACCGCAGACAGGGACGACACTGGTAGCTAAAATGGGCGAAGAAATCCATAAAGATAGCCGGAAATGTATTAAGAATGTGAAAGCTGTTAAGGTCTTGAAATTGAGAATTAAATAACCACTTCCCTGGTTACTAAGGAGATTTAACACTGTTTCATATGTTTGTTCTTTTGTGAGTGCCCACTAAATCTCTTGCCCAGTGTTCAGTTAAGTTGTTCTCTGCCATATTAATTTGTAGGTGTTCTTTATATGTGTTGAATACAAGCCCTTGCCAGTATTTCTTAAAATATCTCACTCTGTGGCTTGCATTTGCATTCTGAGAAGAGACAGACAATAAATATACAATAGAGGAGAATGAGAGGGGAGTGAAGGCTGCGCTATTTTAGTAGTGTAATTAGATAAAGTCTTTCTTGGAAGTGGCAATGGAGTAGAGACCTGAATGAAGAGAGGCAGAGATGCAGGGAAGGAGAACCCAGCCACAACCTGGTAGGCACTACAAGTTGAAAACAAGGAGTTAAGAGTGAAGAGCCTTCATTCCCCTCTATTATATATTTATTGTCTGTCACTTCTCAGTAAAATAAGCCCACTGAGAAGGAATCCAAAGCAGCTACACCTTGCAGGACAGAGTACTTCAGAGGAGAACGATGCACAGAGGGAAAACTCTGGAGATTTGCAAGGGTCTCCCTTGAGTATTCAGATAAGTACTTATCAGCATGTGAGGAAACCACCTGAGTCTGGAGAAGGAACCACGTGAAAGGATTAGGGGCAACAGTGCCCACAGCTCACACAGGGTCAAGAACAGTGCCTGCTCTCACTGGTCAGAATTGAACCTCATTGCTAAAAGGGCATTTTGGGTAGGGTACACAGAAGAGTCTTATCTTAGTTGTTGTTGCTAGGTGCTAGCAAGTTGGTTCTGACTCATAGCAACCCTATGTACAACAGAACGAAACACTGCCCAGTCCTGCACCATCCTCAAAATCGTTGCTATGTTTGAGTCCACTGTTGCAGCCACTGTGTCAATCTGTCTCACTGAGGGTCTTCCTCTTTTTTGCTGACACTTTACCAAGCATGATGTCCTTCTCCAGGTACTGGTCCCTCCTGATAACATGTCAAAAGTATGTGAGACAAAGGAGCTCCTTGTTTCCAAGGAGCATTCTGGCTGTACTTCTTCCAAGACAGATTTGTTCATTCTTCAGGCAGTCCATAGTATATTCAATACTCTTCACCAACACCATAATTCAAATGCATCAATTCTTTGGTCTTTCTTCTTCATTGTCCAGCTTTCACATGCATATGAGGCGGCTGAAAATATCATGGCTTCGGTTAGGCGCACCTTAGTCCTGAAAGTGACATCTTTGCTTCTCAACACTTTAAAGAGGTCTTTTACAGCAAATCTGCCCAACGCAATATGTTGTTTTCTGCTTGACTGCTGCTTCTGTGGGTGCTGATTGAGGATCCAAGCAAAATGAAATCCCTGACAACTTCAATCTTTTCTCCGTTTCTCATCATGTTGCTCATTGTGAGGCTTTTTGTTTTCTTTATGTTGAGGTGTAATCCGTACTGAAAGATGTAGTCTTTGATCTTCATCAGTAAGTACTTCAAGTCCTCTTTGCTTTCAGCAGGTAAGGTTGTGTCATCTGCATAACAAAGGTTGTTAATGAGTCTTCCTCCAATCCTGATGCCCTGTTCTTCTTCATATAGTCCAGCTTCTTGGATTATTTGCTCAGCACACAGACTGAATAAGTATGGTGAAAGGATACAAACCTGATGCACACCTTTCCTGATTTTTTTTTAAACCACGCAGTATCCCCTTGTTCTGTTCAAACGACTGCCTCTTAGTCTATGTACAAGTTCTGCATGAGCACAATTAAGTGTTCTGGAATTCCCATTCTTCACAATGTTATCCATAATTTGTTATGATCCACACAGTCGCATGCCTTTGCATAGTCAATAAAACACAGGTAAACATCTTTCTGGTATTCTCTACTTTTAGCCAAGATCCATCTAACATCAGCTACGATATCCCTCGTTCCACATCCTCTTCTAAATCTGGCTCGACTCTCTGGCAGTTTCCTGATGAAGTACTGCTGCAAGCATTTTTGAATTACCTTCAGCAAAATTTTACTTGCGTGTAGTATCAATGATATTGTTCAATAATTTCTGCATGTACTTTTCTTGTACTGATTCAGCTCAGGTGTCCAGGTAGTAGGTCACCAGATGTGCTCTCGCCTACAGTCCTAGACAGGCATAGGTGATTGGTGTAGGCACAGGCATCTGGCTGCAGCAGGGGGACACACGCTGGGCAAGGCAGGGGGCTGACGGCTGCTTGAGTGTCTGGTAGGAAAGTGTGTCCCTGTTCCCTAGAGCGTGTAGGTGGGTGGGTTTTGCAGTTGGACTGTGAGCACCTAATGCTGTTGGCTGTAAGGACTGGGGGGGCACCACTTATTCTTAGGCCCCTGTCGCAGGTGGCTAGGTGGCATGGGTGGAGCCACCAGTCCTCAGGCCCCTGATGTGGGTAGGTGAAGACCATGCTTAATGGGCAGAGCAGTGTCAAATATCATGAACCTGCCACTTCACAAGTGAAACAGCTGAAGCTGGACTTCAGGTATATACCCTGTTGTACTGTGGTAATAAGGGCCTATGCTGTTGAAATGGGCCCACATAAGTCCACGCGGGGGGAAAGGCACTCAAAGACTGTGGACCCCTTATGCCTATGCCTAAGCAAAGGAGCTGTGCCTACCCTGAGTTCTGGCTTAGGGGAGCTGGCAGATTATTTTTTCCCCAGTTTGTTAATTTGTTCCCTCTGTAAGGCTGGGAGAATAGCTCAGGGTGTGTGACGGGTCCTACTTCTGGCCCAGGGGACTCGGCAATTTCTGAAGCTGTCCCAGACCTAGTGTAGAGCAGGAGCGGGGAGATAAATGGGAGAGAGGTTTTTCCCAAAAGGGAGTGTTTTTGATCCGTGTGGTAGGCCAGATGCAAGTACTTATCTTTTGCCGAATGAGGGCTGCTTCTCACTTGTTCTGGAGGGCTGAGTAGACTCTCTGCTGCTGGGTCTCTCCTGATGTGGAAAATGCCTCCCGAGTGCTGCTGCTTGCCTCACTGCCCACCACAAGCTGATCCAGCCTGAAGGGTTCTGGCTACTGCCGGGTCAGGTCTGGCAACTCCTTGCTGCTCCCGAGCTGTCTCTCCCTCCCCATCACTCAGTCCGATTCCTCAGCTTTGCCTCTGATGTTCAGGGCTCCTAGACTGTCATTTATAATCGGTTCACTTGTTTTTTTTGGGTCTTTGTTGTAAGAGGGACCACTGGAAGTGTCTGATTACCCTGCCAACTTGGTGCCGCCTCCGTTGTTTTGTATTTTGCCCATAGAATCCTTCAATACGACAAATTGAGATGTGAATTTTTTCTTCAGTTCTTTCAGCTTGAGAAATGCCAAGCATGTTCTTCCCTTTTGGTTTTATAATTCCAGGTCTTTGCACATGTCATTATAACACTTTGTCTTCTTGAGCCACCCTTTGAAATCTTCTGTCCAGTTCTTTGACTTCATCATTTCTTCCACTTGCTTTAGCTACTCTATGTTCAAGAGCAAGTTTCAGAGTCTCTTCTGACATCCATTTTGGTCTTTTCTTTCTTTCCTGTCTTTTTAATGACCTTTTGATGTCC